ACTGAGGGTAAAAGCTGATTCAGTGGAAGTGGTCCATGGCATTCAGTCAATGGTGAGGCCTTTTGTGCATCTCCTGGTTCTCTGGGTGGTCAAATGGGTAAGCACTTGACTCCTAACCAAAAGGTTGGCAATTTGAACCCACTCAGAAGCACCTTGGAAGAAAGGCCTGGCAATCAGTTTGTGAAAGGTCACAGCCTTGAAAACCCTGTGGAGCAGTTCTACTCTTCACACATGGAGTTGCTTTGAAGCAGAATAAACGTGATGGCAACTGGTGCATCTCCTGGCTATTCTGAACACTCCAGTATGTCAAGGCAGAATGTGGTTATGGAAGCTCTCTGGTTTGAAGCCTCAAGACCCTACAGACCAGGAACACTTTGGTAAAAGCATGAGAAGGAAGCTCTGTAAAGAAGAAAGTCAGACAGTGTGGCACCTACAGAGCATTCTCGGTGCTTCCGGGGCGGAGGCGGGGGTTGGAAAACACCATGTACCCAGAGGCTCTGCCCATGTGGACTGCAGCCATTGGTGCTTTCTCCTTGGCTGTTTTTTCCTTTCTGGGGCAGACATTTACATGGAAATGTGATCTTTAATTCTTTAGAGACCCATCTCCTCTGTTAATTAATTATTTTAATTCCTCTTTTGAAGTAGTAATCTTTTATGTAATGCTTTCTGGTCATCTGGACTCCCAGTTCAGTGTTACATGTCACAGATGGGAAAATTCGGTGGCCTTTTGGAGTGCCATTTGGACCTAAGAGAATCAGCCATCGTGGTCAGTGGCGAAGACCTGGAGTTGGTCAGTCACTGAAGCTCGTTGGTCATCTGTCATTCTTGACCCCCAGTGCCTGACTTAATTTTTCCACAGATACAGAAGCCCGCAAAGGAGGCAGACACACCTGATTTCTCCTTGGGCATCTCTGTTATGATGGAAGTCCCCCAAGTGCTTATAAAGAGCAAAGCTGAAATTCACAGACCAACTTGGTCACAGCAGCCTTGTCTTTAGATGTTGTTATGTGCCATCGAGGCTTTTCCAACACATAGTGATCCTATATGACAGAGTAGAACCACCCCGTAGGTTTTCCTGGCCTGTAATCTTTATGGGAACAGATCACCAGGTTTTTTCCTCCTGCAGAATCACTGAGGGGTTCAAACTGCTAACCTTTCAGTTAGCAGCCGAGTGCTTAACTATTGTGCCATCAGGGCTCCTCTGCCTTTAGATAAACCAAAGAAACCTTACTCACTGCCATCAAGTAGATTCCGATTTACAGTGACCCCCGCTGGGTTTCCAAGGCTGTAAAATCTTTACGGAAGGTTTTCCTATCTTCCTTCCGCAGAGCAGCTGGTGAGTTTGAACCACTGACCTTCTTGTGAGCAGACAAATGCCTTATCCACTACACCATCAGAACTTGTTGCCCATGTAAGAAACAGAGGACATTAGAACTTGCCATATTTTAATATTCCCCTGCTCTGGTTGAAACCTGAAATCCCTCTCATACTCCTAAGCTACTTTAGGAAACAGTGTGTTCTTGGGAGTCCCTTAACTACCACCAGCTCCCCAGAGCTTGGATAGCCACACGCCTGTGGCAGAGCTGCTGTGGTGGTCTCTGCTCTGGATTCCTTTACTGGCCCCTGCAGAAAGTAGAAATTTGTGAGATCGTTGGACCTAAGAATGGAAGCCAAGTGCCCAGAGATGCCAGCCTCCTAACTTACTTCCTCCCCCCACCTCCAGCTGCTGGAAAATAGCCAATCAGAGAGGTACCAACCCTACCAGAATTGTTCAGAAATAGTTTGTGTTTGGAGTTGCTCGATTTCACATGTGTATTAGGACAACCTGACCCGTGTAGTCAGCCTGCCCTGGGCCTGACTGATGAGGACCCCACAAAGTCAGCACTCATTTAACAGAAGAGTTCAGCCCATTTACTCAGGAGCATATTGTGGTTGGAACTTTGGAAAGAATACTTGCATTTCACTTGTATTTTTATTTTCCCATTCTATTAAAAATGTCCAAACAAATTTGGTATGTGGGAAGGAGGAACACATGGGTACTGAGTAATGAAGAAAATGCAGTGATGCTAAGCCAGTTGAGTTTGCTCAACACATTCCTTTCTCAGTGTTGCAGAAGACACTGGTGGGGAGTGACATGAGGAATGAGTGGTTACAGGCTTTTCCCCCCGGTGCACAGGGCAGGGTCGGGGAAGGGTGAAGAACCTCTGTCTTTCTGTCTGGAAGGGGCCTGGGCTGAGCATTACTGTGAGTACAGAGCTGTACATGGCTTTAGGCCTAATGTCAGGGTGATGAACAATCACCCTCAGGCCCCTCCTGGTGCTCTGCCTAGTCACCCACAGGCCAGGTTGGAAAGCCCCCCTAGCAAACCTGGGTGAAGGAAAACACACTGGTGGAGAGTGCACGGTGTTATTTACCTTTCTGTGTGCAAAAGTTGTGGGTGCTATAGAGTTGACAAATATGTTTCTACAAGCATATTTGTATGTGCTGTAAGAATGTCTGGGTGCACAGTAGAGCTGACAAGGGACAAGGTTGCGGTGACTTCTTAGCCATATCTAGCTATCCTGAAGGAATGAACAGTTGGACCTGTGGGCTCAGGACCATGGTCACAGGGGACATCAAGCTCAATTGGCATAACATAGTACACAAAAACATCGTTCTACATCCTACTTTGGTGAGTAGTGACTGGGGCCTTTAAAAGCTTGCATGTGGCCACCTAGATGCAATGATAGGTCTCTCTTCATCAGGGGCAAAGAAGAATGAAGAAAATCAAAGATGTATGGAAACAGTTATCCAAGGGACTAGAGATCCTTGGCTTATATGACAGTGAGACCAGAAGAACTAGATGGTGCCGCCCAGCTACCAATGTCAACCTCTCAGGGGGGTTGGTGCAGGAGATCCTGGATAGAGTGGGAGAACAATGTGGAACAAAAGTCAAAATAATTTAAAAAAAGAAGAAGAAAAAGAAGACCAGGTTTGCTGGTCTGATAGAGCTTGGTGAGACCCCTGAGACTATGGCCCCTAGTCAACCTTCAGATCTGGAATTGAATTCATTCCTGTGGTCTCCAGCCAAACAATAGACAGGCATTTGGGATGAACATTTACATCAGGTAGATAAACTCCTTGGAGCCATCAATCATAGGAGAACTGAATGGCCGTGTTTGCACAGGGAGACGACGATGGCGGGGGCGGGGGGGTGGGGGGGGTGGCAGGAATGCATAAGAAAGAAGGACACAGGAAAGAGGTAGCTACAGGGAGGAAGTGGGAAGAGAGCTGTTACATTGTGGGGCATTGCAGTCAATGTCCTGAAACAAAATGTGTATGAACTGTGTGGAAAATGAATTTGCTCTGTAAACTTTCACCCAGATCATAATAAAAATTATTTTAAAAAAAAAGTTATGGTTTGCACAGTAATGCCCACAGGACCAGACTTTGAGTAAGTCCTTAGAGAAGTCCTTAGAGAAGTAAGTCCTCTCTACCACTTACAAAGTAGTGATAGAGAGGACTATTCCAATCCCAGTTGGCACTCTTACTAGGGAACCACTTGAGTATGTTGCTTATGCTCTCTGCCTGCATCAGTTGAAGCATTTCTAATCTGGCACCTAATCAGTCATTAATAAGCATTGGTTTATGTAAGTTAACATAGGCATTGGCGTGCTAGAACTTCTGTTGCTAGTCAAAATGCATGAGAATTAAAGGAATCTTCAGGTATTCAGGAGGAGGTGATCATGATTCATTGCAGCCCTTCACCCTCACTTGGCCCACTCTGGATATGATGCTCCTGTCCTTGCAACAGTTGAGAGGCATATTGTTTTCTCCAGAGAAACAGAACTGACAGGAGATATCGTGTATATATACACACAGGGTTCCCTGAGTGCACTCAGGCAGGCATTAACAGGCAGGAGCAATAGTATGCAAAGGACAGAAGTACAAGATAGAAGGAACCTCTTTTTTTATTTTTTTTTTTTAAGGAAGGGGTACTACAAGTCCTTTAGCATGGATGATCATAGAGCGCAAGGGACAAGATCAGAGTGCTTGGATTGGAGAGGCAGCAAGAGCCTAGTTTTCCATGCCAGAGAACCTGACTTTCCTGGGGGGAGAGGGTGTAAACAGTTTAATGTCATCATCTAAAAACAAGATCCAAAACCTTGATGCATTTAATAGTATTGTTTTATCTTTTCTCTAGTTTTATTATAAGGGTTATGGATGGAAAAGAGGACAAAAGTAAACAAACTCCATATATGATGTGTACTGACATCCTGCTAAAAAGAATTTTGTTTTCTAATTCCCTCCACATACTCATTTCTCCATTTTTTCATCAGCAGTTCCCTTGGGCAAAAGTTATTCTCTGATGCCAAAATAAGTACTTTTTTCTTAATGTTTTTTAAGTGCCCTTTGATTGCATAAGAGCACAAGAGCACTGTACAGAACTATTGCCAGGAGTATCTTTATAGCAGGAATGGAGGCTAAGACTGATTATGTAATTGTCCACTTAAGTTACTCTCTGAACCTAACATGCCGCTAGCATATCAAAAAAACCTAATGATTGTAATGGCATGAGTGCCTTTCCTGCTCACCAGTCTTTGGCACTAATGCTCTGCATTGTTTACTACAGAATAGAAATTGGTGGTTAAAATCGGTGGTATGACTGGGAGCCCAGCCCTGGCCACCCCGACTCTCAGCTCTGTCACTCCAGCTGCCCATACAGCCCATCGCAGCTCCTCTCCAGAGCAAGGCTCATGTGTGCTCATCAGAGACTCTCCTTGGGGTCTCACATGTGTATATTTTGAATAAGGGGAGGCACCACTTCCTCTGCATGGAGGAAGCCTGGGTACATTTTGCAAAGTGAGCAGAACACCATCTGGCAGAGGAGGTGGTGGGAGTGTGCAGATCCTGCTGTAAAGTCGAATGCTTAATGGCTATAGAATTTTTTTTTTAATTTGAGTCTTTGTATTTTGTTTGTTTGTTGTTTGTTCTTTTTTTGTTTTGCTTTTGTTTTTTAGAATAGTCCTTATCAGTGGCAGAAGATCCTTCTGTAGTATCTTTTCAGTGCTGCCGTATCGTGACAGTACCCAAGCCGGGTATGTATATACATGCATGCTTTGTTGTTCTCTGGATGAAAAGTTCTGGCACTGACATACGTGACATGGCCACCCTGTCCATTTTCAAGAACACACTTTACATTGATGTTTCAAATTCAGTATTTGTAAATTTAAAAGAAAAATTTCCACTTTCTTTTCAACCAGAAAGCTTCTTTATTATTGGCATGTGTATGTATATGTGTGTGTGTGTGTGCACGTGCTCACACATGTGTGTCTTCCCTCCATAATGCCTGCTATTTCTGAATATGCATTTTGTCACCTCTCCCCAATCCATGAAATGAGCAATATGGGTGCACGACCTCCCTCAGGCCACGTTGACTTTTGGAGAAAGGTAGGTCAATAAAGGAATCAGACCAAACCATGCAACCATCCTATTTCCTGGCATCTTGGGCTTGGAGTCAGGAACCTGACCAGCAAGCTGGAGCTGGCACTGCTGGGCCAATGTTAAAGCAAAGTGGTACCAGGAACCAATGTGCAGGATTAGCTGCACATCAGAGGGTCACTCACTGCTCAAGTCCCTCATTTCATGCCAAAACAAACAGTGGGTAAGTAAGGGCCTGATCTTCAAAGCCTCCTCTCCTCCTCACTATCCCCGAACCCTGTGCCCATTTCCTCATCTGAGTCTCGGCTCACTTTCCCTCTTCATCTTTTGCCTGCATTCAGTGCATGTCCTCAGGGGTGCTATTGATGTATGTACTATACCAATTGTTGTGTCAGTTCCAAGTCATGGCAACCCCATGTGTGTCAGTGTAGAACTGTGCTCCACCAGGTTTTCAGTGGCTGATATTTTCAGAAGGAGATCATCAGACCTTCTGAAGCACCTCTGGGTAGACTCTAACCATCAACTTTTTGATTAGCGGCCAGGCATGTCAGTTGTTTACACCACTGAGGACAGTTGACTATGTAGGACTATTAGTATTGTAAGGTGCTAGCTCTGGCCTCTGCTCACTAAATGCTACATTGCCCTGTAGTCATTGTGACAATCAAAACACCACCTACATACTACCATTGGCCCTTTGGAGGACAGTAGGGTCACAGCCCTGATTCACAATTTATGCATCATCTTCCATGAGTTGTACCCATGTGGTTCCTACTCACCATGATCTTTCCTTTTCTTTCCCCTATAAACACGTCAGACTTTTGACCTGTTCAGTTCATCATGGTTATTACTCATATTCTAGACTATAAGCTCCATGGGACAGGATTCATGGAATCCAGTCCCCTAACCCAGTCATTTATTTGGTGTATGCCATAACAGTACACTTGCTTTGTGCTGGTCCTTTTCATTGTCTGCATCCTTACAACAATTTTGCAAAGTAGGTGCTCTAGAAAAAGTAGCAGCAAAATCTGCAGCTCAGAGGTTTAAGGACTAGCATGAAGCTAGTTGGGAGGCTTTCTTCCCCTTGTCAGCCTGCTGTGGTCCTGGGTCTGGCTCCCAGGAGAAGCGGGCTTCTTTCCTGGGGAAACTGGCTGGTACCAGCTCACAGACCTAATGTGTGAGCCCATTTGGCCTGTTCAATTATTTAATTACAACTGATAGTCCCAGGACCCAGAATATTTGATTGTAAGCATCCTTCCAGCAGGATCCAAGTCATCAGTAGAAGGCTTCTTAACTAGAGCTGGAATCAGAGCAAGTGTAATTGGCAAATTGAATGTGTAAAGGCACCAGGAAAAAAATGTCTGATGCATTGACTCCTGGAGAGGATTGGTGTCCTTAGTGAGACTGTACAATTCATTGTTTGCCAGGACATCCTCTCACCTGGAAGGGCTTGGACAGGCACTGCCAGTTTCTGGATTCTTTTTCTGGGTTTCCCTTACTTACCAGTACCCTTTCTGATAGATGTGTTATTTATTTAGACACATTTCATTCATTCTTTTATTGAATGCTTACTGTGTGACTAGGTATTAGGGATGAAAGTAGTGCAAGACAGAGCTGGTTCCTGCCCTCCTGGACCATACAACCTAACCAGGGAGGAAAGACATTAAAATTACACCTATGATTAATTATAATTTTTAATACAGTAAATGCCCGAGTTACGAGTTATGAACATCTGCCTAACAGGCAACTCCTACTTTAATGTTATATAAATTTTACCCATTGAACCAGCCCCTGCTCAGCAAGGAATTCTTCATTGAAATCACCTTTACTTCCTGCATGTGTAGCTTTTAAATTATCAAAAAGGCTTTAAGCTTTATCTTACACTAAAGTAAGGCTCAATAAGAACCATATGCATCTGTTCCAACTCACCTAAAAATTTGACTTAAAAGACATACTTAGGAACAGATCCCATTTGTAACGTGGGGACTGCCTGTAAAGATCCTCAGCCAGGATCCTGCAGGTTACCTCCTGGCTGAGCCTAATGCTGTTTCCTTAAGTGAGTTTGGCTTTTCCATCCTTGAAGTGTTGACTTTAGTTTCCTTCATAACAAGTCATCTCATTTCCAAGTTTTGGGGTCCCCCCGGGTACCCAAGTACTTATTTTTGTTATATAGATAAAATCACTGATCCTCAAGAGTTGGGTTCTCAAACATCAACTTCGTGCCAGAGCGGGAGTTTGAACCCAAATCTGCAGCTCTGGGCTTTTCCATAGCCCACACTGGCAGAAGGCAAGGCAAGGTCCATATTCGCAGAAACGCTTTGGAACTTTTACAATCTCTGCCTCAGAGAGGTTAACAGAATTCCAGGAGTGACTGTGTATGAGGTTCCCAGCGCAGGACCTGGCACCTGGACAGGTAGGTGGGTCTCACTTGTAAAGGACCCTGTGTTTCTTACAAGAAAAAGAAAGGTGGAAGTCGGTGTGGAGAACTTTAGGGACTTACAGATTTTTGCTTGGGAAAGTCACTTATCTTCTATGAGCCTCCATTTCCTCTCATGTAGAATGGGGATGGTAAATTACTACCTTGCACAGTTAATTTTAAGATTATCAATTGCACAGTTAATTTTAAGATTATAGCATTTTATGCAAAGCCAGTAGGAATCTAAAAAGTTAAATTACCCAGGAAAAGATCACCCAGACCATCTGCATTCATCATCTTTGTGGACCTACTTGGTTTTCTGCATTTTTAAACACCTCAGGGAAATTCTAGCTGGAAGCCAGCTGGTGCTAGGGACCTGGTGGGTGTCTGTCGATGCCTGAGTCTCCTTCTCTACTGCTGTGAAGGCCTCAGAGATGTCAGGAAGGGTCACCTCAGAGGCTCCTCAGTAGACCTAGCCATTCTGCCTGTTGGCTCTGGATAGAGAAGAAAAAGGCATGTGTGGAGCTGCAGGACAGAACCTTTTACAGCTGAAAGTTTCTTATAGAGAAACAAGTTCAAATCCAGTAAAACCAAAACCAAACCAAACTCATTACCCTCTACTTGATTCCAACTCATAGCAACCCTGTAGGACAGAGTAGAACTGCCCCATAGGGTTTCCAAAGCTGTAATCTTTATGGAGCAGACTGCCACATCTCCCAAACCTTTGATCTTCCAGTTAGTAGCTGAGTGCTAAACCACTGTGCCACTAGGGCTCCTACTCAAGCCTACTCCTCTAAATTTTACACATGAGGAAACGAAACTGCAGAAAAGTTAATTTCTATAAGAAATAACAATTACGTTGTTTATTAACGGAAGAAAGAACAGATTCTACTTCAGTCCTCACATAAAAAACTATGAATGCAATTCAAAATATTGTAAGTTAGCAGTAGAATTAAGCATTCTGCTTTATTTTAATTTTTAATAAGCAGACATCCAATTTATGAATAATTTCCATCTATCATAGTTACTCTTTTATTTTTACTAATTATAAGGAAGCACCTCTGGTCAAGTAATAAAAACATTTATTCCAGTAAAATAAAAATATACGTGAAACTACTTTAATTCATGTACATATTAATTACTACATTTCCCCTGTGGAAAGTTCCCTTATAGGTGAAGCTCTTTCTGGAACTCAGACATAGATTGTAGAATTTCAGGGATGAAAAGGACTTTATAAATCATACGGTATAACCTTCCTGCTTCACAAAGAAGATACAGGGAGGTGAAGCTTATCCTGCACCCATGGACCCAACAGAGCCAACTCTAGAACCCGGTCTCCGGGCCACTCCTGCCTGCTGACTTCATGATTTCTAACTCCCATGCTTCCATTGCACTTATGGCACGTGATTAGTCCACGTGTGCATGATTATTCAGAACAAGCAGTTTCCCCGGAACAGGATAATGTACCACTCCAACTTCATCACAGCAAAGTTCGAAGAACAGGAAACAGAGAAGTTCATCCAACATATACTTCAACCTCCTCTGCATGGGAAGCCTCTATTAGGATGGCCTTATCTTTCTGTTGGGAGCTCTGGTAGCATAGTGGCTAAGACACTTGCCTGCTAACCAGACAGCTGGCGGTTCAAACCCACCAGCCACTCCTCGGAAGGAAGATGAGGCAATCTACTTCCGTAGTGATACTGCCTCGGAAACCCAAGGAGGGGTCGCTAGGAGTCAGGTCTGACTCGATGGCACATAACAGCAACAGCATCTTTCTGTTTGTGTTTCCTGGCAGTCTGCATTGGTGCTTCCCAAGTCCAATTCTCACCTCTTGGCTTGCTTTGCTTCCTATCTGGACCCCAGTGTTTTGTTCTTGGTTTTATACTGAAAGCTGAACACTTATTTGACTCTTGTCATCAATTGACCAAATCAGACAAATCAATTTTAGGAGAGGTTTTACCATCTGTACTGGTTTGGATAGTATCCTCCCAAAATCTGTGTCCTTCCTGGAACCTCAGAATGTGACCTTATTTGGAAATAGGGTCATGTCAAATGTAATTAGTTAAGATGAGGTCATCCTGGAGCAGGGAGAGCCCTTAATCTGATATGACAGTCCATATGAGAAGAAACATGGGAGAAGATGGAGGCACAGATTGGAGTAATGTGTCTGTAAGTCAAGGAGTGCCAAGGACTGCCAGCGATACCAGAAGCTAAGAGGAGGGCATGGAATAGATTCTCCCCTAG